TGTGTGTGTGTGTGTGTGTGTGTGTGTGCGCGTGCGTGTGCATGCTTGTATGTGCATGTATTAGAACAGGGACCAGGGGTCCACTGGGGAGGCTTCAGATTCAGGCTCAGAGCCAGGAAGGGGCGGTACACCCAAGTGGGTGGTACACCTGTGTGGGCCCCAATCTGGGCCAGGTGGGCTTAATTCAGCCAATCGGTTCAATCAGTACCGTCGACCACGCCTCCCAAGGAGGGCCTGAAAAAGCCAGAATCCGGAGCCCAAGCTCCCTCAGCTGCTACTTGGCAGGGCTGTAGTTATTCTGGTTAGTCAGGGCCCTCAGTTTTCTACGTGGGGGCGAGAAGTGCCCTGAGGCACTGGGTAACCCCTGAAACTACTTCTGCCCTTTATAAAACTCATTTGGATCACCAACCAGGCTTCGGAGTGGATTCTTCCTCGTGCAAAGCCAAGGACCCAGGTATTTCCACCCGAGAAACCTAATATGTATATTATGGAGGATGTTGTTAGGTTCCCCCAAATTGGTTCTGACTCATAGCGACCTTCTGTCATGCTTATCATCTTTCCTATGTTTGAGCTCATTGTTGCAGCCACTTCGCCAATCTGTCTTATTGAGGGATGTGTTTTTCACTGGCCACCTACTCTAGCAAGCATGACGCCCTTCCGCAAGGATTGGTCCCTGATATTGTGTCCAAAGTACATGAGATGTAGTTGCTTCTTTTTGCAAGGGGATTTTAAGTTATTTTATCAGTTCCAAATATTTCCTTAAAAATTTTTTTTGAGAATGAAATGACAGGATATTTTCCCTTTAATGTTGCAATTTTGCAAATGATCAGCAACAGAGGTAAAAAGCAATATAATTTTTCCCTTAAGCTTCACTACATAAAGGAGTGATAGGATACACAATAACCTCATTTGAATTGGTGCAATGAAGACACTCTGGTTGTCTTCGCTCTACTCCGGTGCCCACACAGCTTCCCACTCAGCCATCTCCACTTGGATCAACAGCATTGTCTGTTGTGGAATCTTCTGTTCTGAGCTGCTTGACTAGAGTCTGACTTTACATTCCAATTGCACCTGCTTTGTGAATAGTGCTGCCCAGAGGAACACGGAGGGGGAAGGCTTCTCTGGTAAACATTGTGATTCTGTGAACGTTGTCTGATTGAGTGTTGTAAATCCTGGGTCTGGGTGTGGAACTGCCAAGAGGCTGTTGGGTACACTTGGTTCTGATGTAAACTATACTCAGGTGCTTGGTGAAAAACGGAGATGTACTTACTTTTAGGGGACACACTGACTATACTTCTTTCAGGATTGATATGCTCTATCTTCATGAAGTCCACCATGTACTATCAAGGTCGTTACTGAGATAATTGGGGAAATAGAGAACTTTGTTTTCTGAAAATGTACCCACCTGCTGTATGTGGCTCTTGAAATGTAACCATGGTGGAATTGTGATGTACTATAAATGTAAAATACACGCCAGATTTCGAGGACTGTAGGGCTGGCCGCAGCACAAGACACGATGCCCCCTCACTGACTCACAGTGTTACAGGGGACAGCACTGGAGTCACAGTGAGGGAACTGTGCCCGGTCAGATCCCTGACACCCAAGTGAAGCATGAAGGGTGTGCAAGAGAGCAGCAAGGGGAGTGAGACAGTTTATTGTGCCAGCCTGGCTGATAAAC